TCCAGCTATGAGTAATTAGCAGGATAGACTGGGTTCTATAGCCTTGAATGGAAACTGGTGTAGGAGAAGGACAAAACCTGTGGAAGGTTGTTTGGGGACCTTGTGGCACGTAGTGCACCAGGTCTCTGTATTCGGCCCTTCAAAAAGCATGGTTTGTTCTGCACAAAGTCTTCAACAGTATGTTTTTTATTTTATTTTATACAGTTAGGTTCATCTTTACAAGGCCCAGGGGCCCACTTGAGATAGATATGAATTAGTCTATTTGTACATATAAGAATAGAAGATAATGGTTAATCTGTGCCTTGAACAGGTTAAGATTGTAGTGATTGGGGAACATTCTTTTTGAAGTCTGTTCCATAGGAAGAAGCTGCTTGAGGTTAACTTGCTTCTCACCAATGGAATATGGAGAGAATGTGGGTGGTTTGCTATTATGTAAGTGGCACGGTGGGTTCTTTCTGTGAAGGTTTGTCTTGGCAGAACCAGGGAATGTAGTTCATCTGAGCACTTTCTGTAGAAGTAGTGGCAGAGCAGTAAGAAGCTTGCACATTCCACCTGTAGGAGTGAGAGGTTGAAGGGTGGAAAATAATTCATCACCCACAAGGCCTCAGAGATGCTTTTGAACTCTATCAAGGATGAAGAGTGAGGTCTAGGCAGATCCCACCCAAATATGGCAACAGTACTCTATTTTTGGCCTGATCTGGCTCTTGTAAAGGTAGAGGATAGCATGAGGAGTTGGGTACTTACTGGAGCAGTACAGAGAGCCAACTGTTTTACGTGAATCCTTAGCAATAGATTGTATGTATATCCCATTTGAGGTCACAGTCTTTCAAGTCACATTACTTCCCTGAGAGGACCTCCATTCATCTTGATTGATGGTAGTCAGATCAGCAATGATGGAATATAATTAGCTTGATATTCAAGGCATTGAATGTAACCAGTCAGTTTTTATCCATATTTGATAGTTTGTGCAAGACTGGAAGAGAGATCTGTCACCAATCTCTGACCATTGAGAGTTTTAGAGGTGCGCCTGTATATAGTTGTATCATTGGCATAGATGTTTACAAATGATCTAAGTATATTCTTAGGTTGATCATTTATGTAGATCAAAAAAGAGTATTGGTCTAAGGAGAGATCCCTGGAGGATACCCGTGTTGACCTCTAGGGCGCCTTCAGGGATCTACCTGTTAGGAAGGATTTTATGATCGAGAAGACCCTTCCAGTGACTCCATAACTGGAGAGCTTGTGTAGTAAGCCTTTGTGCCACACCTTGTTGAATGCCTTTGAGATATCTAATGATATGGTCCTTGAGGTGTGCTTATTGTCAAGAGCCTCACTGATGCTGTGAGTGACTGTAGTTTGGCAGTGGATCAGGCTGACTGAAACCCATACTGCTCATCGCTGAAGAGTTGTTCTTTTCTAGGTGCTTGTTGACCATCTTATTGATTATGGACTCAAAAACTTTACTGAGGAGACTGATGGGTCTGTACTGGGAGGTGGAAGATCGCACACCTGTTTCTTGACACCTTCCACAGGCTTGGGAAGGATTTCTCCTTTAAGCAGCAGTTAAATAACTTTGCTAGGATTGGGGATAATTCCAGATTGATATTCTTAAGGACAATCATTGGAATTTTGTCTGGACCAGTGGCTTTCTTAGGGAGTCAAGGCCTTTGATAAGTCTAGAGATATCTTATTCTGTGAAATAATATTACTAAGATAATATTACTAAGATTGTGCTCAGTGAGATGTAGGATCTTGGGGAGGGGATGGTCTTTGTTTCCTAATGTCGTGGCAAAGATGGCAATGATGAGGTTTGGCTTATCGATCAAGAAAGGCCTTGGGGTCATTTATAGTTGTTGGCACAGCCGCTTTACATCTGTTCATGATTTGGTTAGTGATCTTCCAGAATTCATGGGATCCAAATTGTTTCTTTTCAACCTTGGTCTGGACTGCTTGTGCATAGCTGCACGTTGCATTTTCTAGAACTTTTTTGCAGTGATTGCGGGCAGTTCTGCATGCAGTGAAGGCTGAATTACATTGCTCCTTGCAATATATATATATATATATATATATATATATATATATAAAAGTAGTGGTTTCAGTGAGTTATGGCTGCAGTGCATTCAGGGGTGAACCAGGGTTGACTGTTTGGTTTTTGCTGAAATTTTTGTGGAGTATAAAACTCTATTTGAGAAAGAATCTAATCAGATCAGAATCACAAGAAATTGGAAAAAAAATTTTTGAAAATACCTTTATTTCTGAATATTTATAAAATACCATTTAAATAATGATTATACATTTGAAACCTTCAAAATTCATTAAAAAGATATAAAACCAGAATATATGAATAATTTATAATGAAAGATCATGAACAAGAGCCCTAAGATAGTTTATAAGATCTGGTCAGTTTTCATGATTGTTAACTATGTGGTGGAGACATACCTCGCCGAGGCAAAAGAAGACAAATTGTCTGTACATGTGCTTGTAAAGACATCATAGATCTGCGAGGCGAACTTCGGCAAATCATATTGAAGTGACACAGCACATGAGTTATCTGCAAGAATGAGGCCAACAGAAATGAGAGGTCTCGGTTTTTTGCCCAAGACCGAGTAAGGATAAAAAAAAAATGCTGACTTTTTGTTTCAGGACAGTTTGTTCTTTGAGACCAAAGGTTATACCACTAGTATGCAAGAGGCTACAGAGATTGTAAGTAAGGGAAAAGACTGGGTATGGGGGGGGGGGGTGAGGAAAGGATAAAAAGAACAGAGGAGGATAAAAAGAAGAACGGGGATCAAGGTAATAGAAGATGTTGACTGACATTACTTTTGAATTTTTGAAGATTATAGTTATCAGGGAAGCAAGCAAGTAAGAGGAAGGGAGTTCCACTGTCGGGAAGTGTGAGAGAAGAAACTGTTGGAGTAGAAGAGGTCGTTACGTTTAACTGTTTCAAAAGTAAAAGGGTGGGACCAAGATGCTAACCTAGTAGCATGCTTAAAATCATGCAGTCGGAGCACCAGTGAAAGTAGCTCGTCAGAGCAGATACCATGAAAATATTTATAAAAAAGACAGAGGGAAGCCACATTATGTAAGTGAGAAAGTGGAGTCAAAACTCCAAGTCAGGTTCGATCACATTGTATATCTGTCTTTGGATTTTGTTGAGAACCTTGAGTTGAACAGTGGGGACACCAGACCATATATGGCAACAATATTCCATGATGATAGAAGGCAGGGATGTTTCTCTATGGGGGTTAAATGAGAGCAGTTTTGTTTTGGATGCATTTTCTGCCCCATTGAACCACAGATTGGAGGTGGTTTTCAAGACCAACAGCCAGGTTAACAGTGTCAGCAATGCCAGATTTACTATTGAGACAGGAGTAATGCTAGTGTCATCTATGTAGATGCCGACTTGAGAACTGATGACATCAGGAAGATCATTGATAAAGATCAGAAACCATATAGGACCAAGGATAGAGCCTTGAGGAAGACCAGTGTTCATATGGAAGAAACTGGAAGAGAACCTGGTCAGGACAATCTTCATTTCACTGTTAGACAGGAATGATTGGATTAAATCAAATAATCATCCTGTAATACTGTTTAATAAATAAATGAAGTGTCTACTCAAGTATGAGTACCCATTAAAAATTATATTTAAAGTGCTGAAATCTGTCGGATTAATAAATAAAAAATAACCATTACTCTTTTAAGAATGTGTGTGTGTGTGTGTGTGTGTGTGTGTGTATATATATATATATATATATATATATATATATATATATATATATATATATATATATATATAATGAAAAGATTACTTAACTTTTAAATATTAATGTTTTTTGGTAAAATTTTCAGTCTTCAGGGGTTGTGGTTTTAAATGGTATTCCCAACTTTGTTCCATGTCTTTTTCAGTCCACTTTTTTTTTTACTGTTTTATACACTTGCATATTCATGAATTTAATGTTCTTTTACACATGCAGGTTCATGAAATTTTGCTGTTCTTTGTGTCTTTCATTTTTTTTTTTTTAGCTGTAGACAAAAGCAAAACTTCATGAATTGCATTTAAAAGAATGTTAAATTCATTAATACACATGTGTACAAAACAGTAAAAAAAAAAGAAAAAAAAAGCAGATTGCAAAAGATGTTGGGATAAAATTGATATTTAAAAATTAAGTAATCTTTTCATCTATCATTAAGGCTTTATTTTTAATCTTAATATTTTTAATCTTGAGCACTAATATATATATATATATATATATATATATATATATATATATATATATATATATATATATATAAAACATCTGCTGTTTCTTAAATCTTATGCACACACACACATATATCAAATATCTGTCTTTTTTTTATATATATGGATGAGTGGAAGTATTTGAACTTGAATAATTTTTGAGAAGCTCTGTCTGGAAAAATTTCTTATTCTTTGAAATCAGTTGTATACTGTCCCTCCCCCTTAAGTAATCTGTACACTGGTATTTTGCAGCTTCTGTTAGTAATTTATGACAATTAAAAACAAAGTTAATTACCTGCTTGCTTATCTTGTGTATATTATGTTCCTGAATGTCTCATTTATTTCTGATTGGTCAGTTTTTTTTTGTTTTTTTTTGTTTTTTTGTTTTTTTTATTCTTTTATGCAAATACTTTATGAAAGCTGATTGGTTAAATTCATTTTTTTCTCTTCCTTTCTTTCCTCCTTACTCATTCACTTCTCTCCCTTGGGCTTAGTCATATGTTATTCACTGTTTCTAATTCCAAAAATCCCATTATTGAACTTGTAGGGAGGGGCATGAGTGTGTATATTTCCACTTCTCTTAATAGCAGTACTGAACTTGCTGACATAGCTCAATGGTTAGGGCACAAGACTGAACATGATTGAGTTTTAGATCCAGTCTTCAATAAATTGGTTGGTGGTAAATATCCTGAAAAAATTTCATTTTTGTAAAATATATTTTCTATTATGGCTACAGTTTTATATCCTTTCTTCATTGTTTACAACCATATCATGTTGAAACATTGGTTCTTGTATGACCACCAAAGTTAAGTAATGTTGAGCCTGGTCAGTACCTAGATGGCTGACCACTTGAGAATACCAGGTGCTGTAAGCATGGATGCATGTAATGGGTAATGGCTCAGAATTGTTAATTGGAGAGCTGAGTTCAAGTTGGGTTTGTTATATTCATTTAGATGCAAATACTCTTGGGAAAGGTATGAATCCATCTCTTCTCACTCCATCTATGGATTAATTAGTAAGACTTGTATCACTAAAACCATTATTATCTCAAAAAAATATTCTCACAATCTAAAAAATTTTCTGCCTTTAAATAACCTGAAAAGGGTTGAGCTGTAGAAAATGAATCAATTGACCAACCAAATTTTTTACAATGTTGGATATGTTGATCAACAAAACTTAATTTTTTAATGCAATAAAAACTAGTCTATACATGTATGTATTGTTTCCTTTTGAAGAAATCTGATGTATCCAATCAGTTATATATATATATATATATATATATATATATATATATATAAAAGAGTAAAGAGAAGCCATAAACATTTTTGGTTATAATGTGGATTTTTTAAATATACATTATACTTTATTTTCCATATTTTTGCTACATGTCTTTTGGATCTTATGACCTTCATCAGGCAAAGAATGGTTATTGCCACATATTATTTAAAGGAATTCATTTTTCCTTATGTTTTACAATGTTTAACCAATATAAGGCCCAATAACCACTCACGGTAGAGGATTAATGAGTGTGAAAGTTGTGTGTAAAGGTAAGAGAAAGAGCTACATATTATGATAATATTTAGGATAGATAACTGTTGACTGCAGACTTGAAGAAAATAACATAATTATAATTATTAATATTTATAAATAAAGAAAATTGATCCCAAGTATGCAAAATAAGACGTCGGTCCCGAGCATGCTAAATAAGATGTCGATCCCCAGTATGCTAAATAAAGGATTTTTAACTAAAATGACCTACAGAGGTTGAACCATTAAACAGACAAATTTGTTTTTCATTTTTTTTTTCTTTTTCTCAGGACATAAGAAAACCATCTTAAAAAATTACAACTTCTCTTTCAATGAAAAAACCTATGCCAAGCTATCTACTATTGTGGGCATTGCATGCACAAAGAGGTGCTGAAAATCTTTCAGTTTGTACAAGGAGACCTATAATATATATATATATATATATATATATAGCCACTGTCAAATGGGAAAAAAATGGCATGGTTTATATACATTACATTGCAAGACCATCATGCAAGGCACCATTGAAGGTGGACACGGGAGAGGATGCCAACTGTTGTAGCATACCTATGGACAATAATGGGTATGTCCCCATTCGCATAAATATAGTACTAAATACTGTATGTTGGTATGCATTTGGAGATTTGTCTCCAGCTGTGCTAGTCAAACTCTCTGCCTGGAGGCAGAGAGGATCCCCAGACAAGGCTAAGTCAAAGAGCAGAGAAAACAGCTACCCAACCCCATTTTATATGAAGTCTCTGGGGAATTTTTGTCCAAGCCTATAAGCTCAGATACCCCACATTAAATTTGGCCTTGTACCACATCTGACTGTGTGTGATGGTTGGTAGATATCCTGCAGTTGGAGATTGTGGGATTCACTTGACTCACTTCTATCAGTTGACTACTTTTTTTATCTTTCACTGTCGAATCATTGTTCTTGTCCTAAATATTATTGTTCATTACCAACCTTCATGTGATTATTCAGTAAGCTTCCCTAGGTTACAACACCAACATAAAAACTGGTTGGACAATGTCAAACAACGGACAGGTATGACTGTACCAGAATTGCTAATATTTGCTGTTGATAGACCCTTGTAGAGGAGATTTAGTATCACTTCTGCATTCGGATCCCGCCTACGATTACAAAAGTCAAGGGGATATATATATATATATATATATATATATATATATATATATATATATATATATATATATATATATATATATATATATAAGTGAATATTGAAGTCAACACTCAAAGGTGACAGGCTGTTTCATGCTAGGTGTAATTGTCAGGCTGTGAAAATATATATATATATAATGGTATATCAAAAGTACTTTTACAAACTTTGGGAGGCATATTCCTCACACGAAAACAAGGACAATTATAGACAGTGTGTGATGGGTAAAGTGTTGCCATTTTATATTTTCATGCATGTTGTTTGTTTTTGATTTTTGTCAACTGCACAGTATAGTAGGGTCAGTTGGGCACCATCTGTGAGAAGAGCACAATGTCACAATTCATTCCACCAGAAATTTGGAAACGGAATGCTGTATTGCTTGGCTATTCTGCTGGAAGCTCCAATATGAACATTTCAGAATATTTGGGTGTCAATCTGAGGACAATGCAGAGGATTTGGAAAGAATTGGATGAGTCTAATGGTGATTACGAAGGTGTTTGGAGTTATCACTAGTGATGGTGATAGGCCTCCATTCATTTTTCTACAGAGCTTCAGACTCAACACAGAGGCCTACATCAAGTGCCTTGAGGAGGTAGTGTTGCCCTGGGTCAAGAGGATGGCTGATGGAAGACCCTATGTCTGGCAACAGGACTCTGCACCATGCCATACAAGCAGGAGAACCCAATCATGGCTGTCAGACAATTTCTGCGGCCACATCACTCCTTACATCTGGTTACCTAACTCCCCAGACTGCAACCCCCTTGATGATTGTATGGGGCACAGTTGAGTAAGAGGCACAGTTGAGTAAGAGGCTAAGAAAGACCAAAGATGAACTGAAGGCAAGGATTTTGACAGCAATCACCAACTTAAACAAGGAGACTGTCCAGAAGAGTTACAGGAGATTCTGAAGTTGTCTAGAGGCTTTGGTTGAAGCCAATAGCAATCTTTTTCTTTTTTTAATTGAATAAGATGTCAGTGTTGTTTTTATTTTTTTATTTTTTTATTTTTATTTTTTTTTAGACAAGTTTATCCATTGCACCCTGTATTTATAAAATTTATTTTATTTGCTCATCCAATATGAATATTTTGTATACTAATCTTATATATATATGCTCATGTTCACCCAATACAAGGCCCAAGAGCCATTCAATTAGAGGTTACTATATGGTGTTGTATGAATATAAGAGAAGCCAAAAGTGCAGTTTATGTAGTTATGTAGGAAAGATAACGTTTAACTGTAGACTTGAAGAGGTTAAGATTATAGTGATTGGGAAAACATCCTTTCTGGAGTCTGTTCCACAAAGCAGCACTTCTTAGGAAGAAGCTGTCAGAGTGGAACTTACTCATGGAGTATGAAGCAAAGAAAGAAGTACATCAATAAGTTTGTAGCCTAATGATAGCAAATGTGCTTATTCTTCATTGTAATTTACTTTTTTATCAGTGTGGTTAATCAAACATTAGGCAGTGAAAATTCAAGGTCAAATTTAGCTAATAATAGTTAGGTTATTTACCCACTGTTGCTTTTATTTATATATCTCCATGACTTTTGTGAATAAATTTCTGCAAAATTTCTATTGAAAAAAATTAAAATTTATTTATCATGTTTTTCCCTCAGGTATTGCTGGATGACTCTCCTGAATGTCAGTTGAACAAAAGCACCTTAGATCTGGGATGCTGTGGGCACAAGTTGTTGTTGGCTTTTTTTTTTCCCAACCTTGAAAATCTTAAATACACCTTTATATATTACTGATGAGGAAGAACTGGGTCATTTTTTTTTTTTTTTTTTTTCAACAAGAGTAATTTTTTACTCAATTTTGTTAATAGTCAGCTAACTAATCTAGATAAAGATACTACTGTGTAAGTCATGCTCTCTTATTCTCTCTACTCTCTAAACTATTTGAGCAATCATCCCAAACTCTTGCTCATCTTATCTGGAGTTAGCTTGTTTGTAAATCTTGGACTGTCCTCAAACTGGCTTCACAGAAACTTGCAATTTTGTTTGTCCCTCTTTTAGTTATTTCACACAACTGTTAATTCCTGTCAATACCTCATAAATAAGGGACTATTCTGTGTTTTGATTATGTTGAAAGAGGAGAAAAGACATTACTTGGTTTCAGTGAGAAAATGAATGAAAGGAAGGAAGATAGAAGTTAATAGAGATAATCAGATTAAGCAGATAAGAACAGATACTACACTTTGATCTCAGCCAAAAGGCCAAGAATCAGGGTGAGACAAATGCATGATTTTTCAGACACAGTATCAAACAATAGAAACTGAGTAACATAATCGTCAAAAATGAAATTACCATAGATTAAATAACATCATCTGCTGAATTATTTTAAAATTATTATTAAGAGAAATGTCCATAAGATGGAGATTTAGCTAGAAAGAAATAAGGGAAGATAAGATATTTAATATTTCCTACCAGTACCTCATAAATAAGGGACTATTCCTGTTTTGATTATGTGGAAAGGGGGAGGGGAAAAGACCCAACTTGATTTCAGTGAGAAAGTGAAAAAGGAAGAAGGGAAGAGTGTTTAATGGTTGTTTCAGTGAAATGGTAAAGGTTGTCAATTTCAAATTTTTTCATTTGTACTCACTTCTTAAAATAATGACATATTAATGATTCTTATTGCAATATTTTCTTCAAGTTGTTAAACTCAAATATTTAACAATGTAATCGGGGAATTTCTATGGATATATTATTGTTGTAGAACTTGCCATGAGCTTATTCAATCATTAACTTAAGAATTCAGCAATTGTCTATATTTCTGATTACCATTTAGACTATTTTCATTGTTCGGACTATTGTCCCCATCTTTGTTGCCATATACATGACGTTTCGGCTGTTGTACGCTCCGGCCTTCTTCAGGACCTGTCTATATTTCTGAGATGAGATATTGTAACTATTTAGACTATTTATATTGTTCAGACTATTGTCCTCATCTTTATTGTTATATTCAAGACACTTCGGCCATTGTACACTCCAGCCTTCTTCAGTGTACCCCAACGTATATCACCTGAAGAAGGATGGAGCATACAATGGCCGAAA